TTCTCGGATGTCGTAGATGTCAGGACCTTCAGGGGTCCTAATATCGACTCGGATCACCCCCTCGTTGTCGCGAAAATTCGAGCGCGTCTATCGACCGTTACGAGTTCGAGAAACCGGAGATCGATGCGTTTCAACATCCAGCGTTTGACAGTATTAAGATGGTGTTGCTGCAAAGTACCATCAGAAGCTGAATGAGCGGAGAGCGGAAATCAACGTGAACGAGTATCTCAACAATCTGTGGGAAGCTGTCCACGGAGCGGTGAGCACAACAGCACGAGAGGTGATAGGTACAGCTCAGAGGCGCCCTCGGAACGGGTGGTTTGACGAGGCGTGCCAGCGAGTGACAGAGGATGTTGGTGTCTGGTACCCGTCAGAACGGAGAGCGGTACAGGGTAGCAAGGTCAGCCGAGAAACGAACCCATCGCAGGAAAAAAGGCAGTACGAAGAACGCGTTATTGCTGAGGCGCAAGAAAGTATGGAGCAGAATGATATGCGAAGGTTTTACGCAACTGTCAATGGCGTGAGGAGTAAGACAGCGCCGTCTCCCGCCATGTGCTATGACCGTGAAGGTAATCTGCTGACAGATAAAACGATGGTGACTGCCAGGTGGAAGGAGTACCTCGAGACGTTGCTGAACGGAGAGAACGAGAGAGCATCTACAAACAGAACACACATCGACGACGATGGTCAAGCTGTGGAACCACCAACGCTAGAAGAGGTGAAAAAGGCGATACGAGAGCTGAAAAACAGTAAGGCTGCGGGGAAGGACGAGCTCCCGGCCGAACTGCTCAAACACGGAAGTGAGCAGCTGCACCAGATGATCCACCGTATACTGCTCAAGATATGGGAGGAGGAAGAATTACCCGCTAGTTGGTTGGATCGGCTCGTTTGTCCCTTCTACAAAAAGGGACACAGACTGGAGTGCGCCAATTACAGAGGAATCACGCTTCTGAATTCGGCGTACAAAATATTATCACGTGTTCTGTTCAACAGATTGAGACTGCTTGAGGAATCCTTCGTCGGCAAATACCCTTGAGAAGTTCCTGGAATACAACTTGCAGACTCATCATCTGTTCATAGATTTCAAGGCAGCGTACGATTCAGTAAAGAGAAACGAGCTATGGCAGATAATGCAAGAAAACGGTTTTCCGACGAAACTAATTAGGCTGATTCGTGCAACGCTGGATGGTTCGAAATCATGTGTACGGGTTGCAGACGAGATGTCGGCCTCGTTTGTGACCTTAGATGGGTTGAAGCAGGGAGATGCTCTTTCGAACTTGCTATTCAACATCGCCCTCGATGGATCGACTAGGAGAGCTGGTGTGCAGAGGAACGGTACCATCATCACAAAGTCGCACATGCTCCTTGGTTTTGCGGACGACATCGACATCATCGGAATCGACCGTAGAGCAATGGAAGAGGCGTTCGCGCCTTTTAAGAGGGAGACAGCGATGATTGGTCTCACGATAAATTCTACCAAAACGAAGTACATGGTCGCCGGTAGAAAGCGTGGGAGCAATAGTGGTGTTGGTGGTGAAGTGGTGCTAGATGGCGAAAAATTTGAAGTTGTGGACGAATTTGTTTATCTTGGTACTTTAGTGACGTGCGATAATGATGTTACCCGCGAGGTGAAAATGCGTATTGCAGCCACGAATCGTGGGCATTGAAAGAGGCCGATCGGAGAGCTTTCGGTGTCTTCGAGCGTAAAGTGCTGCGAACAATACTCGGCGGTAAACTGGAAAATGGCATCTGGCGGCGTCACATGAATCACGAGTTGTACCAAGTATATAACGGCATGGATATTGTGAAGCTTATAAAACACGGCAGGCTACAGTGGGCTGGGCATGTGGCACGAATGCCGGAAGAGCGTCAAGCGAAGTCAATATTCAGCAGGGAACCCGGAAGAGGACGTCGGCATCGGGGTAGGCCACGCACGCGTTGGCTTTGTGCAGTTGAGGGGGACATTAGGTCCTTGAACGTCCAAGGCGACTGGAAGCGATTGGCTCAGGAACGAGACCAATGGAGACGGTTACTTCGTTCGGCGCAGATTTGAATTCAACGAGTCGTCGCCCACATCAGGTACTCATGTAGGTAGCTGTTGCTATGATAATTAATAATATCACCGATTGTCTGCAAAAAGCAATTTCCCTAACACAAATTTCAAAGTTGAATTCCATCCGCTCTCACCAAACGGTGTTCATTCAATCACCGCGTGGTGAGTAGTGGTGTTCTCCAGTACACGACGAAAGGCTCTTCGTGAGTCGCTGGGGGCCATCTAGGCCAAGCGCGTCATACTAAAGAGTATGGACAGAGAGAACCCTGCTCAAATTCCAATTCCTACACACTTAAACAGAGACCCTGAGTTCGGTAAAAAAAATTACCGTCTTAGATCGGTAATGCTAAAAATTACAGATGTTTCGGTATTTTCTCGCTTTATTGCTGAAAACTGTAAATGAAATGACCGAATTTCGGTAATTTCATTTTAATTTACCGAAAACGGTAACCATTTTTACCGGCAGGTCTGTAAATCAGCCTCATCACTGACTTCGGTGAAATATTTTACTGAATTTTCGGTAAACAAAGCTTTCCATTACTGAGTTCGGTAATGGTCTAGGTAAACGTCAAATCCACCATATTGTTATTTTCGATCGACTTTAAAAGCGTTCGTGCTTGTGAAAAATAAGAAGGTGAAATTATGGAAGCTGTTATTCAACACCAAAATGAGTGAATCGTAGATATTTTCCGTAAATAATTAATTTTCGTTATCTAAATAAATACCGATTACAGATGGCCGATGTTGTTGCTTGTTTTTTTTCTGTCGGTCCAAGTTCCATTCCCGTTGGCGACGATCTGAAAACAGCATTTGGAATATTCTTCCAAAGCTTCCTTGTTTTCAGTGTAGCGCCGAATCCTTCCGACAAAAACTTGATTTTGTTCATTGGTGGTGCAATTTGCAACACTAACTTATTGACCACCATGAAACAATATTAAAGAAAATTACAGTTGAGTCGGTTACCTTTTTAGAAAATTACAAATCTCTCGGTAATTTTCGATTTGCATATCGTCCTCAAAATTACAGTTCTCCGGTAAAGTCGACTACAAATCAAGCAATGCACATCGGTAAACGTTACCGATCGTTCGGTAAATTTGACAGCTAATTTTGCTGATCCAGTTTACAGATTTTTCGGTAATGTTCTCGATTACCGAAAACATTACCGACCGTTCAGCTGTTGAGAATTCGGTAAATGAATTACCGAAGTCGGTGATTTTTTCTAAGTGTGTACACAAAACACAAGCTGCTGCTGCAGTTAACAAATAAGATTTATTATATAAGACCACGTAGTCCTATCATAGAGGTAACTCTAAGACTAGAAGGTCCCGAAGAAACGTGCTCAACTTTTTGGCTCAGCTCTGGTACTCTCTTCGGTCCCTAGCTAATCGATTCACCCCTCGAAACATAGGAAAATCCACTAACCCCTCATTTCATCATTTTTTCAGCAATATTTTTTGATTCTTTAGCAAAATACAATTGTACAAAATAAACTCACATTGTTACACTTCGTTGCACTTCCACAACCGCGGTTAAGGCAAAACTTGGCAATGCAATTCATATTAATGATATTAAATGATATTCGAAATTTAAGGAAACAATAATGTTCACCAGTTCATTTTTTTTTTTTTTTTTTTGTCTTTATTTTAGAGATTTTTAGCCTGAGGCTAGTTCATCTCTTGTTCACCAGTTCACTGAGAATTGAAACAACGTAAACAAACTAACTCGAAGCGTAGACAATGACAAAGTCTCGTAAAAAATTGGAACATTTTACTCCGCGGTAAGTGTTGGCAGCTTTTGTAAACAAAACAAATCACGTTGCCAAAACGTCTGATAATATTTCCGAGAATCTCTGTATAATATTCATAATATTCGATTTCACTGTCTGTCAATTGGCAAATCTACACGGTTAGAAAAAAGTACCCAAAATTAAGTTCTTTTCACTCATCTCGGCACTATAGTGCAGGAACCCAAAAGTAGGTAAAGCGGGTCAAAGTAAATTTCATTTACTTGTGTGCAATTCGTATGGAATTTTCCACTGGCTTTTTAACCAAAAGTAAGTTAGTTGTACCCAACAGTAGGTAAATATGATTATACTCAACGTTGGGTTCCCACACTTTACTACCCCTTTTGGGTGGTTTTGCTCCTCCGTTTTTGACAACATTAGAAGGAGAAAAGGAGACAAACTAGTCAAAAGTAGGTAAAAGTGAACTTTCCGTTGGGTACTTTTTTCTTACCGTGTAATCTAATCTAACACAACCTGCATAAGCATGCTGTCAATTGACGTTTAAGCGGGATTGATGAATTTGATGAGCAGAACGATTAAATTTTGTTGGCGGTGTGAGTATGAGTGCATGGAAATGCATGAGAATTGCAAGCGTAAAATTTGTTTACCAATTCTCACGCAAGGTTATTCTCTCAGGATGGCTCAATGAATGAGATTTGAGGATGATTTTCCGCCATTAGGTCTAAATATCGTGTGTTGCAAATCACCCCGTTTGACAGTAGCTATAATCTATAACAACGCGTTGAAATGGTATCCAATACATTTTCGAGCTTTCTAAAACTATCCAAGTTAAACAGAAAAAAAGGCGCTCTAATTTTGAACCTTGTCGATCTGCCCGATCTGCTGGAGTATACATTTTAGCACAACACCAGCAACCAATCAATATCTAGCGGCGGCCAGTTTATTTTTGTTCTTGAAATTAAAGCATATCCGCAAACTGAGCAACAGAAAATTCCATTCTTGACACATGGATGGATATCTAGCTATTACGCATTTCACTTTAGCGCGGTCTTTTTCAGCTCAATTCGTTCCCCCCAGCAAAACTGAAACTCGGAAAATTTAAACCTTTCTGCTCGCTCACGTAATTGCACCGCTTAAAAAGTGTCTATTCAACAAAGAATGAGCTCGACCTTGGCAAACAAAAAAACAAAATCCCTCACTCACCTTTGCTACTGCTGACCAATCGGTGACCAAACAAATCCTCGCCGTAAGCTGCTCCTCCACCGTACACTGCCCGGAAGACGCTATTCATTCGCCTGTCCGTTCGCATTTTCAGTTCTGGCAAATTTTCACCCGAAATTTCGTAACCGTAAATTCACTGATTCACCGATCTGCTTCGAAAGTCCATTCACTGGCAGTGGACTGCAACTTTACACCACAGCGATCACTATCTTATCAGCACCCGCGTTCACTTTATCTAAATAAGGTTCTTTGTTGGGTAGTCCGATTAACGGTGAGTAAATCGTTCACTCCAGCGCAGTTCAGAGCTCGCACCTCTGCCTTCAATTGACCACCGAGTGAGTAGCAGCAGTAGCAGCACCGTGTTACCACCAAACCCTACCAGGTGACGACGCGCAATATCATCTCGATCGACGGCGCCGAGGAGATAGCAAGCTTTCTCTCTGCTTCCACCTTCCTGAGCTGGGCGCACTGTGATCTTAATCCAAGTAAATGTACGGAAGCACTGAAGATGGCCTGCCAGTAAGTAGTATTAAGGGAGAAACAGAAAATATTATTAACGAAATTCCTGTTGTCGCGGAGTGAAGGCATGTAAAGCAACAACGACGTCAGAGAGCTGTCTACTGCGGGATGGGGCGAGAAGCAAAGATAAATGGACCCTGGCGTCATGAACATGCGAAAACATACAAACGGGTCCCGGTTATAATTAGAACCGTGCTCATCAACTTTGCACAAATTTCAAAGAAAGAAAAGGAAAACCGATGAGAAACGTGACGTAGCCCTAGGTTTGTAAATGTTTAAATTCACACGCATGTTTACCCTTGGCCATACACGTGTTCCGTTAGAATGTATTTTAAAATAAACAAAGGCCTACTAAAACCTCTGCTTCTCCTTCGTTTGAGATCTGAGCGAGAAAATCATCTACCTCATCCGTCACGTTGTGTTCAGGTAGAATTTGTGTTATTTTAATCCGTTTGCTCACGTTCAAGTGAAAATAATATTAAGTGGTTACAGTCTGGTCGACGATATACGAAAATTTTCCTCCTCCCGACCATCCCCACCACAGGAAGGGTGAAGGTCAATGTTTGTCCACCTTCCTGTCTCCTCTCATGCCAAAGAAACTATCTTGCAAACCACTAAAATAATAATAACACACGAAAGTCACGCCGCGGGACCAAAACCGAATTGATCGAGAAGTTTATGTCGGAATAAAATTTCTTCTAGCTCGTGGATGGATAGCAAAATGTATTTATGGACTCCGATTAACAACGTAAAAGTAACAACGATGAAGGAGCGAAGGAAATTGATTTTTTTGCTCACCTCCTCCCACTATCACTCGATATACGCAACGGGCACCGAAATTCTACATATTCACCACATTCAACTGGATCACATATTCACTCGCACATTCTTTAGGACAATGCAGTCCATTTGACCGACCATAATACGAATAAAATTGCACAATTTTTGCGGCGACACAATTTTTTGATGAAATTCCGAAAGGTTTGTTTTTTTCTGACTTAAATTTTTCGACAGACGACAGCTGATCCGAGTGATGGCACGCACACTGATGCCAAATTTGCGTGTTTTTATGCTCCCCCGTTTGACGGCAACATAGGTTCCACAATCGCGGCGCGAGTATCATATACAGTCGAGGCGCTCAGAAGTGGTCTAGTCCAAGATGCCATGTATAGCAGGTAATGTTGGGATTCCTGCGTTGATGAAATAGTTCGTTCTTGGATGAGCTTGCCAAAGTGTTCGCTCTGGTCGCCAGACCAGCATGTAGTTCAGCCAACAATCAATACGAAACTATCGATTTTAAATTGGCTCACTACTTGACTAGCCTATTGGTCCCAAGCAAATCGATTAACGTACCCCATTCTAGTCGAAATTCTAGTTCTACGCAATGTTTGTTTTGATTTGCTATGAAAGTTTGAGCGATGAAATGAGGGGTTAGTGGATTTTCCTATGTTTCGAGGGGTGAATCGATTAGCTTGGGACCGAAGATAGTACCAGAGCTGAGCCAAAAAGTTGAGCACGTTTCTTCGAGACCTACTAGTCTTAGAGTTACCTCTATGGTTCAGCGTTGTCAGATTGTGTTCAAGCCTCGGTTCAAGCTTATCGGTATCTAATTTTGTAACGAAAATCCGAGCAAAAATCGGTATTTATCGGTATTTAATATTATAATAATTTTTATTTTTTTCTGTTTTTGAAGGAAATAATTCAAGCTTTTGGGCTAAGGCTGTGTCCCATTTAGTGAATTTTCACTTAAATTTGAAACTTCTAAAATTAATTATAATGTTCTAAAATCCCTCCGTTGTTGATCTTCCGATATTCGAAAAGGTGTTTGTCAAAATTGATTCCATTTCTGTCAGCAATAAGTCTGATACAATAGCAAGTTTATTTGAAAATTTTCCATCTTTCAAATTGAAGTGAAAATTCACCAAATAGTACACAGCCTAAGAACGAAAAATTTGCTTTCCAGGAGAAGATGGAATACATTTAAAAAACAAAATGTTTAAATTTGCTTGTGAAGGAAGCCGACAATACTTCCAGTGAAAGGATAACGAAGCTCTTCTGGAGGAAGTTCTGGAGTTTGAAGAAAAGTCTGAAAAAATCAAAGGAACTTCATCACGCTTTACCACTACACCACCGGACGCCACTGTAATTAATGGAGTTAAAAAGTAGTTAATGTTCTACATTGTGTAATTAATGTAATTAAAGCAGTAGTGAATGGAATTAATTTAATTACAGCCGTTGCCTGCGTTGGAGTTAAAGGTTATTGCGTGCCCCTAGGACTATAGGGCCACCCACATTAGATCCGTTTACGTCCCGAATAGAAATTGTAATGTAGAAAACATCAGCAGACATCTTCAATACATTAAATTTTAACGTGTATTGCTGTACCCTTAATGTATTCAGACTTCAGTGTGACGTCCAAGTACATAAAAATACATTAGCCTCAAACGTTACATCAGAATCAAACGTCTTGACGATGTCAAATTTGACATCAGAATACATCCAATGACAACAGAACCTAACGTTACATTAGAATCAAACTTCATCACGATGTAATTTGTTGCACGCATAAAGCATCAGAATACATCCAATGACAACAGAACCAAACGTTACATTAGAATCAAACTTCATCACGATGTAATTTGTTGCACGCATAAAACATCAGAATACATCAAATGACAACAGAACCTAACGTTACATTAGATTAAAAGTTCATCACGATGTAATTTGTTGCACGCATAAAGCATCAGAATACATCTAATTACAACAGAACCAAACGTTACATTAGAATCAAAGTTCATCACGATGTAAATTGTTGTCCCTCGGTCCCTCGCCGCATGCAAAGTTTGTTTCGAGGTTTGTTTTGTCCTGAGTCAGCACCACACGGCGAATGAGAACGACCCAAATTTGAGTTTAGTTCACTCATAAATTGCAAAAAGTGCAGGAACTCAGTTTTGAATTAATTTCCCTCATGTTTTCAAGGTTTTTTCCAGGAAATTTTTTCCGAATATGAGAAAAGCAAAGATTGGATTCTCTGGATTCTCGGCAATTTTCCTAATTTTAGGGCAGATTTTTGAGGTTTTCCACAGGAAAACATGCGGCAAATTTACCCATCCTGCACTTTTTTCGATATTGAGTACACTGTCCTCAAATTTGCGTTGATCTCATTAGCCGTGTACAGTTTGTTTTCGCATCAGTGGGAAAAGTCTGGATCAACAATAGAAAAGGGCCCATCAGCATTTGTAAACAAACCGTTCCAAAGCCCATTCCTCACAAATCGAAGGCCGCCCACACAAAGCAACACCATCATCGTGTAGGTGGAAGTTTCCCCTATCCGATGCTGGTTTGCGTGGGTGGCCTTCGCTTTGTGAGGAATGGGCTTTGGAACGGTTTGTTTGCAAATGCTGATGGGCCATTTTCTATTGTTGATCCAGAAGTTTGGTTTTTCGACGAATAAATTAGCCCGGGAAAGTGCCGATCAAGGTGACTACATATAGGTGTTCTAATGTGTCAAATTCACGATTCAGCTATGTTGGATTTTTGTATGGAACAGCTACCGAGTTTGTTTCTATGCCATAAAAAGGGAGCTACCGAGTTTGTTTACAATTGGCTCTAAAACCGCACTTTTCCCCCCGCGACCTCCTCGCTAATATAGTGACAAAGCTGTATCACCATTTTTATACCCACCATGGTGCCGATAATGTGTCCGTCGCGAGTTTCAATGTTTTTCTGGTAAGTAAATGTGAACTTATTAATGTAATGTAATATAATTTTGTTTTTTTTTTTTTAGGAAAGTGTACCAGTCCCAAGCCGACTCCCGGTAGGGAGTCTGAAGCTGGATCCCGGCGGGAAGTTTGCAGCCGGATCTCTTTTGCAGGTTAGTGAGTGTTTTTACTAAAAGCTACAATAAAATATAAGTGGACCCCGATGGAAATCCGATGACGGATTCCATAAACGGAGCCCGATGACGGGTTCCGTAAACGGATCTTGATGACGGGTTCCGTAGACGGATCCCGATGACGGGTTCCGTAGACAGATCCCGATGACGGGTTCCGTTGACGGATCCTGATGACGGGATTCCGTAAAGGGATCCCGATGGGGAAACCGAATACGGATCCTCCCGATGGGGAAACCGAATACGGATCCCGATGGGGAAACCGAATACGGATCCCGATGGGAAAACCGAATACGGGTCCCAATGGGGAAACCGCATACGGATCCCGATGGGGATTCCGTAGACGGATCGCGATGGGGATTTCGTAGACGGATCCCGATGGGGATTCCGTAGACGGATCCCGATGGGGAAACCGAATACGTATCCTGATGGGAAAACCGAATACGGGTCCCAATGGGGAAACCGAATACGGATCCCTATGGGGAAACCGAATACGTATCCCGATGGGGAAACCGAATACGTATCCTGATGGGGAAACCGAATACGGATCCTGATGGGGAAACCGAATACGGATCCCAATAGGAAAACCGAATACGGGTCCCAATGGGGAAACCGAATACGGATCCCGATGGGGATTCCGTAGACGGATCCCGATGGGGAAACCGAATACGGATCCCGATGGGGAAACCGAATACGAATCCCGATGGGGAAACCGAATACGTATCCTGATGCACAGCAAAAAAAGTTGTTGAATATTACATCGAAACTGCTGCAACCAGGTCAATCCATCGGTTGTGTAATATCACATTGTACGATGTACATCGATTTTGCGAACAAAATTACATCCATTGATGTAATATTGTATCTGCTTTTTGCTATTACATCATTATTTCATACATCAGCTTGAATTACGTTGATCGATATTACATTTTTTTTTGCTGTGTGGGGAAACCGAATACGGATCCTGATGGGGAAACCGAATACGAATCCCAATGGGAAAACCGAATACGGGTCCCAATGGGGAAACCGAATACGTATCCCGATGGGGAAACCGAATACGGATCCCGATGGGGAAACCGAATACGGATCCCGATGGGGAAACCGAATACGGATCTCGATGGGGAAACCGAATACGGATCCCGATGGAGAAACCGAATACGGATCCCGACGGGGAAACCGAATACGTATCCTGATGGGGAAACCGAATACGTTAAGTAAGTAACGTTACTTTGACGTAAATTTGACAGTTAGACAATAGATTTAGCTATCACTTTGCCGCAACGCGTCCGATTCGGATCTAATGTGCATGGGCCTTATGGCTTATATAATGTAATATAGGCTGTCTTGCAATAAGCACTCATACACCTAGATTTCACTGAAAATTCTATGTATGAGTGCTCATTGCAAGACAGCCTATATTACATGATATAAGACATAGTCTGTCCGGGGCAGGCTCTATGCTTATACTTTTACCAAAAAACCATAATAAACTTTATCACACAAACGTTCATGTAAAGTTCCATAACCATTTCAGTGAAAGTTTAGCAGGGATTAAAAACAATTTTTAACCATTTTTGGTAAGGTCAAGCAATGGTTCACATTTATGCGGGATTTTTATAGAGCCTTGTTGAATTTTTAACAAAAGAGCTTACTGTAAGGGTAGAATATATTTGAGTACATCGTGATATATTGAAATATATTAACCATTCGACCTAATAATTATAAACTCTAAGTACACGAAACGAAAATCAATTATTTTATTCATGTGTTTCACTTATACATTTTTGCCAAAACATCAGCCAATTCGAAACTAACGATTTTAAATTTGCTCACTACTTGAATAGCCTATTGGTCCCAAGCAAATCGATTAACGTAGCCCATTCTAGTATACATTCCAGTACTACACTATGTTTTTTTTTTTTGATTCGCTATGAAAGTGAGATAAAATGAGGGGTTTCGTGGATTTTCCTTTGTTTCGAGGGGTGCATCGCTAAGCTTGGGACCGAAGATAGTACCAGAGCTTAGCCCAAAAGTTGAGCTCGTTTATTTGGGACCTTCTGGTCTTACAGTTACCTCTATGCTTATACACACCACAGACAAACAGACATAACACATTGAATATTAGTCATTGTAAAACATCGTCGCTAAAACATTACCGCCATCTGTTGAGTACACTGTGGTGGGTAGTACGCTGAACAGATGGCGGTAGTGTGTAAACGTCAAACGCACGGGAATTAACTATGCGTGCCACAGGTGGCAGTACTACCAACTGAGATACTTTCAAATAGACCGTTAATTGCTTGTTCGATGAACAACTTATGAGTTTTATGTCTGTTTGTCTGTGTACACACCAAATTTAAGTTTTCAATATCAGTAAAACGAATTGCTGGAGCATGACCAGCAATCCAATGCTTTACTGAAAAACAACACGCTGTCAAACTGTTAGCATCACAGTCGTAAGTATTGTTGCATTCGTACAGCACCATTCAAACCACAGGAGGAGGAAGAGCTAAAAAAAAACTACAAATGGATAAAATTATGTAGGTAAGGACTCTGGCTCGGACACTGGTTGTATTTAATAAACGATACTTGGAAAGGAGTCTTGCGATTTTATCTTTATTATTCGTATATTTACAGAAGCTGGAAGCTCATATAGTGAAAACAAATTCGATTTACTGAATTTAATTGTTTAATCAGCAAAATGCTGCCAAATGTCAAAATTTTTAATTGCTGAAAGATCAGTAAAGAAATATTGCTGATTTTCAGTAAAAGGTTGTCATTTTGACAGAAGTTGGAATTGCTGAAAAATTCAGCAGCATTATTTTTTCTGGAACGTTTGCTGATCTTTCATCGTGTCTAAAATTAGCAAAATTTTGCTGATGTTCAGCGATTTAAATTTGGTGTGTACATTCCATAAGAAAAACCACATAGGTCCTATAAGAATAATGCATAAAAGGTATGTGTGGCTGCTTATACACTTTATTTGACACATGATCTTTATTAACTTTTTGCAAGGCGTCTGCTTATTAGTTGACTTATACATTTTATGAATAATCAGCAATAGAAATTTGTCAAAAAATATAAGGAGATTTTTATCCGTGTAGCAGCTATGTTTACGGTAGAGTATGATGTACACTCCCACAATTACAGCATCAATGATAATCATTTCACGTACGTATAAAACAATCGTTTCGAGCTACGCCAAAAGGCTCCTGGATCTTTGGATTGCTTTTGACAGCACCTTTTCGATTATGTTTACTCGAAATACTCAGGGGGAGAGATAAGCGGAAGGAATGTTTTGAGCCAAATGAACTGTCAAAATCTGAGCAAATCGAACATTCCAATTAGAATTTCCCCGAGGATTTCTTATTCTTACTAGAATAAATTTGAGAGTATTGCAATCAAACAGAAATTCAATTACCTCTATGTTTTGTGTGTTTCTCAAATTCAACTAGTTATTGGAACCAAAAACAATATTCTAACTCTATTGATTAATTGATCTTCGTTGGTTAATGAATGGCACCAAGAAATGTGCAAAATATTGCGATGCAATCAATTATTATTTTGCACGTAAATCGAATCAAAAATAAAAGTCATTTGAAATGCTAGCTTCTAGCAAGGGTTGCAAGATAATTTAGGAACCAATCCCTGCTGCTAAATTGTATTTTGTTTTTTTCGTCTATCTCTCCCTCTGAGTATTTCTAATGTTTACAACTATTTCGAAACTTATGATTTAATAACACCTGAGTTTAGCATCTTGGCGTATTTATTATACAATAACGGCTAGCATCTCTTAAACCACATGCACGACGCACATACCCTTTCGATAAATATGTTCAAAACATAAACAAAGCATCATGCGCAAAGCATAAGTGATGCAACAGCATAAATTTTAATACTTCACGTGCAATTAATTATTATTCTGTTTTTCAGTATATACTGTTCATCACAAGGCAGTACTGTGTCATGTTGAGAATCCTGATCCGATCACGCCGGGGACTGTTTGCCACTAGGTCGACACTAGCACGGTTGTCGTTTTCCTCTTCAGCAAAACCGGAAGCCGCGGCGGCCGCTGATGAACGAGCAAGTCGAAGTAGTTGGAACGTGAAGCTCCTCCGGCACCCGACCAAAGTTCCCCAGAAACCGCACATTTCCGACATCGACAGACAGCAGCGGTTGAATCAACCGGCACGAATTGCGGTGGACGACCAGACGGTTCAACTGTTGGAACGATTATCCTTGGTGGACCTGGATAGCAAGTAAGTACAAATAGGCTATTTTTATCCAAACCGGACGGTGATTTGAATACAGAATGTTCAAAACAGGGAAGCCCACAAAACGCTGGAAGATTCGATCGAATTCGCATCACGTATCCTCACCATTGACACTGAAGGAGTGGAACCACTGTACACGGTTCTTGAGAAGCAGAAGCTAACATTGCGGGAGGACGTCGTGTCGGATGGGAACATTCAAGAGGATGTGCTAGCGAACGCACGCGTTACCGAGGAGGAATACTTTGTAGCCCCTCCGGGTAATATCCCACTGGAGCAGGATTCCAGTGGCAAGCACAAACAGTAAGATGGCAAGGTTGATGGCCGGGGGGTTGGGGCTGAGTTTCCGACAGTTACTGGAAGCTTGTAAAGGTAGTAAATTCTTAGATTTAGAGTTGAGAGATGGAATTTTGGGTGGTTTCGCGTTGACGCCAATTGGAAGGATGCTGAGGAATAACTTGAAGGAGGAGTTCCGTCGTGGAGAACCGGGAATGGCTGTGTATGAGGGAAGCTCTGGAATTTCACTGGAGAAAAATCTTCGATTCGTGCAGGACACTTTTGCAACGGATCTTCCCTTTGGAATCGCCGTTGAGGAACGTTTTGAGGATAGAACTGTTAGTCTCAACGAAAACTATGGTTTGCATTTGGAAGAAGGATCATTGCTGTCGTGTTCGTACTTTGTGAATCCAACGATGAGCATGGAGTTCATGTACAAAGCTCAACGTCAGCGGAAGATCTGGTGGATGCGGTTCGCTTGCGATCCCGGCCGGTATTTCATTTCCGATCTTCGCCAGGATGCGGAAAGCAAAGTGCAATCGGTAGCTATCAAAGCTCGTTTCGCCGGGGAAGAAGTGGCACTGGAACAGCTGGAGTTGATACCCGGAAGTGTGATGCGTGAAGAAATGGGTGATTTTCAGGTGAAAATCGGAAAATCTAGCAGAAAAATTACACCCAATGTTCTGCGGGTTAGGCAGTGTGTGGAACTGGCCACGTTGGAGGTTATTTTGGATGCGTTCGAGAATTCTGGAACCAGCAGTGTGCGAATCCATCGGAAGCTGGCACCGTACAAGTGTGGGATCATATGTCTGTCTGAAGGTGAGTAGATTTCCAAATGATTTCAATAGCCTTTAGTTAATTTCGCCCTATCTTGCCAGCAGACCCATCTCAACTGGAAGAGCTGCGAGATCTGGCCAAACACCTTAGCAATGTTTTGAGGAAAGCAAACATCACCGTCTTGGACTGTTCCTCCCAGAACGGAAGCAGCGAACGGTCATTGAACAAGCAATTGAGGCACCTGGATTCCATAGCAGTTCCCTACAGCTTGCTTCTGCAAGAGCAAAGTCTCCAGAACGGTCTGTTTCAGCTTCGCTCCCGGGATACGACCATCAGTGAAACGATCCACATTTCCGATTTACCGGATTATTTATTGAAGATTATAACCAGTTAGTGGAAAGCACACACGCGCCTTTATTCAATCGATATAGACTAAAAGAAATCACACAAATACTGCCGCACGTTGAATCCGACCATTTTGCCGATGTGCGTGATAAAGTCCATTCCGATGGTGCACTGTAATCGGGCACTCCCGTCCATGATGGTTCCCTCACCGGAAGCAAATATCAAAAACTTCAAATGGATTAGCGTCGATATCTGCGCCAACAGATTACAGGTAAGCCCAACCTTTTCATCCAAAATAGCGTAGAAGATTGCCAGCAGTCGATCGATGGTGAATGACTTCGGTCCCAGCTGGGTGGCCATCTTCTCCGAAACCTTCGCCTTCGCATTGACCGACTGAAGGCGTTTCTTCTGCTTGCCATGATTCTTCATGAACAACCGCTTGTCCTCCTTGGCTGCGTTGTGACTGGCCAGGTACGCGGCTATCAGTAGGTACTTGGCATAGAATGGGAGTTCTAGGTTCTGGGCGAGCCGCTTCATGGTTTGTACCTGCTCGAGTGATTCCGCCGATTCCGATGTTGGACGAAGCAGTTCCTTATTGATGTTCCCCATCCGCATGTAGATCGTACTGAGGGAAAGCTTCATCGTTTTGGAAATGTGCCGCCATAGTTTGGTTACATCGTCCGGGGCAATTGATCCATCCAGCACAGGCTCACAGTATTTTTGGAAACACTCAAACGATACCAGCTGCAGTTCCTTGAGATCGCGACACACCTTGAAGAATACGTTCAGGAAGATGTTCAGGTAATTTTCATAAAATCCGGACGTCAGGTCCAATAGTACTTTGACTCGCTTTTCGATTTCTTCCTCGGACAACGCTGCTTGTTTCGCAGATCTGAAATTCAACAATCCATCATTAGAGCAGCTCAATGCCAAACACATCTATATCCCTCACCCATCAACCATCAACTCCAAGTTCACTCTCAACTCCTCCCGCACCTTCTCGAAACCCTCCATCATTATCACTACAATATCCTTTTTGCTGTATTCCGGCACGAACACCTTGATCACCGGCGACAATCCCGTCCTGATAAAGTACTTCTCGAAGGGCAAATCAGACACCAGCACTACCGAAATGTTCAACCCGCTAACCTCTGGCAGTCGTAACAACATCGGTAGCACATTATGATCCATATCCCGCACCCGTTCGGCATTCTCCAGAACAATCACGTACCCACATTCAGCGTCCATCCGTTGCAACTGTCCGACGAAATCCCGCATACAGTCTGCACTCACCAGAGAAGCGTATCCATTGTCCGCACTAGGCATGTGACCTTCCAACCGGTTGATAATCGTTTCAAACAGTATCTTATTCGTGTAGCACTCGATGGCATTAAGAAACGCGTGCTTGGTGACCCCCAGGTGCGGAAGAAACTCCCTCAGAATTGAACTTTTGCCAGTGGATGTGTGTCCGAATAGGTAAATCGCCGGTGGAAATGGGTCACCTGCTCCGTAGAAGCGGTACAGCTGTCGGATTAGTTTCTCACGGCAGGGAAAGTGCTCGCTTAGCGCTTTTACCGTGCTTTCCATCTTAGATCGGCGTTGATTGCAAATTATAATTAATTTTGATGTTAGGCACTATTTTATGATTGACTGTTTTCCAATGCTATGCTGTTTGTTGATTATTTTGATTCGGCTTTTCGCGCCTAGATAGTACCGCTGCAAACTCACAAGCGCCTGTGTACCGCTTGAAACACATTGATGGCTAACATACGTTCCACACACTGGAAAAATTAACTGCTCTTCGAAATGAAAAAAAAAAATGCTTTAAAGCGAACCCCACACGTACCAATATATTGATGCGAAGGGGAATTATTGGCAATAATATTGATGATGTGACTAGAAATACTCAGAGGGAGAGATAGGCGGAGAAAACAAAATACAATTCGGCAGCAGGGATTTGTTCCTAAATTATATTGCAACCCTTGCTAGAAGCTAGCATTTCAAATGACTTTTATTTTTGATTCGATTTACGTGCAAAATAATAATTGATTGCATCGCAATATTTTGCACATTTCTTGGTGCAATTTCATTAACCTACGAAAATTAATTAATCAATAGAGTTAGAATATTGTTTTTGGTTCCAATAAATATTTGAATTTGAGAAGCACACAAAACATGAAGGTGATTGAATTTCTGTTCGATTGCAACACTCTCAAATATATTCTAGTAAGAATAAGAAATCCTCGGAAAATCATATTGGAATTTTCGATTGGCTCAGATTTTGAAAGTTCATTTGGCTCAAACATTCTCTCCGCCCATCTCTCCCTCTGAGTATTTCTAGATGTGACTACATAAATATTTTCAATATCGATGTATTGACGTCAATATAGAATGTATTGACAATAAAAGCAATAAAATCAATCGTGTGGAGTCCACTTAATTCCAGAGCAAGCCACAACCCGACCAACCATTCGTTAAGCTTCTTAAAAGTTCATTACACATAAATAAAGATTTTTGTCGCTAATTCTTTACTTAAAAGTTTCTTTGATTTCGATAAATATATCGAAAGTGAGCCTGCATAAGGGCCTAACTGCTATGATCGATTCTCTTCATCGATCTTCTATTTAAATTGCAAATAAGTTATTTATTTTTTTTTTTTTACGAACTGCAAACTTAATCACGGGAGATCGAAGTAGGCCGAAAATGACGTGTTTTTGTTTTGCTGCGTCGTTTTCGTTCTGGTGAAAATGTTATAAATTTGCAATTTCATTTTTTAAAAGTTTTATTTTGAAAGTACAGAAGTGCATTAAGTGAAAATTTTCAAATTCTTATCCGTTGCATGTAGTGCCGAGAGTTCTAACCTACGCGTAGTTACGCTCAGCTAAGTTTATTTACCTTTTCGTTCCTCTGTTCTCGATAGGAAATATCCATCTAATTCAAAACGATCATTTCAACACTTAATAAATACACGTCAATCAAGTATTGTACTACTACTTGATTGAAAGTTTCAGTACATTATCAATTGTGTATATTTGCATCGATAATTTATTGGAGCGGGGTTTATATCATGTGTAAAAATAGCTTCGGAATGCTTGCGTTCTTGAAATGGACTATTGTAGCTGCGGTAGAGCTGTCACCTTCTAAGACCGGGTTCAAGCTTCTTGCATTCATAAGAAATGATTGCAGGCAGAATTTATCCATAATGCCACTGCCAGACAGTGAAAGTTAGGCCAAGGACGAACCTTCATTCTAATCTACGATTCCACATACTATTAATCTGAGTGGTGCGAAGACGGACCTCAAAATTGAACCACTTTCGAGCTGTCAAATCGAACCACTTTTTTATCATTGTGGTTCGTTGAAATAGATAGAAGTATTGTTATCGTCCAAAATAAAAAAATAAATATTTTTCAGTAATGTTTTTGATCTTTTTAAAAACGTGATTCGAAATGACTCAAACAATTAAAAATAACAGTATTATCAACAATCAATACGAAACTAACGATTTTAAATTGGCTCACCACTTTAGTAGCCTATTGGTCCCAAGCAAACGATTAACGTACCCTATTCTAGTTGAAATTCTATTACTACACTATGTTTGTTTTGATTCGCTATGAAAGTTTGACAGATAACATCAGGGGTGTGTGGATTCATGCAGAACATGCAGGGGTGAGTGAAATAGCTTGGGACTGCTTGGGACCGTTGTTCTGGTACTGAGTGAGCCAAAAATAATAATGATTTTCTTCGGGACCCAGTGGTCTTAGAGTTACCTCTATGGTATTATTGCGTATTTTGGACCAAAGTAGACTCCTGCGCTGAAAAAAACCCCTCCGTTTTTTTTTCGCTCAGGAACGACTGTGACTTCGGAGAACGTTCTAAGGACATTTGTGATGATAGTACAAAAGTTCCAGGAAATTTCAACAGATTTTTCCCGCGACAGAAGAGGTTTCAGTGGATATTTTAGTTGCTGCCAGCGAGGTTCTACGGGGGTTCTATAGAGTTTTCATGTTCGAGTTTCACACGATTTGGAGGGAAGTCAAATCGTTGCCATTGGAGGTCCCAGGGAATTTCGACAGCACTTCCATAGATATCGTCGGCCACATTAAATTTGCATCTGATTTGCAACAATTTATACAAATAAAAATTACTATGTTTGATTGCAGGTAGAATATTTTCCAGTTCCGGCGATCGCCAATCTTCATCGTTAACAACTTTATCACTTTCGTCAATTGTTTCACTGATAAATGGACCATCATCATATGTTCGCAGTGTAGGGATTGCATTTTTATCACGATAAGCAACTGAATTCAGATGTTTTACACAATTTTTATCAAAATGAATACTGCACAACCGGTCACTGGGTTTGATTTGAAAATTGAGATCCACCTCACAGAAACTGAGCCACTCTTTTCGTACTGCTGAATCCTTGGGAAACCTGAATAGGCTTCGCTTTTCGTCGTGTCCATCTTTATAATTGCAAAAGTGAGCAAAACACTTCATTCTGAATTTTATTCCACTCCGTAAAAACTCCAGCTATGAACAATGTCAACAAACAATCACAAAGTCACGAATCGGCTCTGCACAAAAAGCCGTTTGACACTTCTCTCTACCAACCGACGGTGATGAAACGTTTATTTCAACACTACCAACATGAAGAAAATTTCACTTCGCACCACTCAGCTATTAATAACCTCTTACACATGAGAACCTCCTATCGATCAGAATGCATTGTGCATATGTTTAGGATGCGCAAAGGAGCAACAGGATCGAGCTGATAACGTTTCTTTATTCCAAAATCTGAAGACTGTTTTGAATCATATGTTTAGGTAATGGGCAGCAACAACGGAGTGATAAACTACTTACAGCTTCTATTTATTAAATGCTTGATATAACCATTGCCAGCAACGCCGGCTGGGCGTATCCTATGGCTTACCCTCCCTACTAACAAAAATCCACCCTTCCCGTGACACTTATGAGGGTTCGTAAATTTCTCTGCATCTCTTTTAAGTAAGTGTTGGACTAACATTCCTACCCTTTCCCCACCAGATGCAAGGACGTGGCCAGGACAGCTCTGGTCTCTAATATGGACCAACAGGTCTGTGCCATCAAAAAGGGAGCTCTGGTCTGTTGGAGGGAGACACATCCTTTATCTAAGAGGTAGTAATTAATCACAAATTACTATCTAACAGCAACGGATGGAGGTGGGTCTCCTTCTTAACAACTGTTTGGATATGTTTCGTTTTGATTCGCTATGAATGTTTGACAGATAAAATGAGGGGTTAGTGGATTTTCCTATGTTTCGAGGGGTGAATCGATTAGCTTGGGACCGAAGAGAGTACCAGAGCAGTTTAGCAAGTTATTTCGGTACTTTCTAGTCTTAGAGCTTCCTCTCTATGCGAATCAAAACAAACATTGTGTAGTAGTAGAATTTCGACTAGAATGGGGTACGTTAATCGTTTGCTTGAGACCAATAGGCTAGTCAAGTAGTGAGCCAATTTAATCGTTAGTTTCGTATTGATTGTTGGTTTGGAGCTCGTACCACCTACGACATTGTGCAACCTGGTTTATGCTATGCTATGCTAACTGCACACTTAATCAAGGCTTCCCTGGTCGGTATTTTTTTACAGTTAACTACTATCAGCTATAGAGATTAGTGACGATTAGCGCACGCACACTAGCGGGGGCATTACCATGTACCGTTTGTTTGTTATTTTCCTCTGGCTAGCCTAAAAAATATATGAACTTAGATCTGTCAAAATGAGCTTGACAGTGATTTGCTATGTATTTTCCTCGGATTTTCACTAACACGCTCTCACATATCGCACCAACACAACCGGACGTGGTAATCTCTATAATGACAATAATCCGATCCACAGCGAAAAATTCGTTCCTTTTCAAATGTTCCGCGAGAGCTGATGGTTCGCATCTCTCCACTTGCGCAACAGTTGGTAGCCGGAACTGAACTATTTATCTTTGGAGGCACTTTTGTTGTGACATTTCTCACTGTCAATCATCAACAACTTTTTTTTTTGTGCGGCTCGGCGGATTTCGATTGTTATTTCCCGTATTTTTTTCAAAATACTATTCTATATTCTGATGGTACACCTGCGAAGGAAAATAGGCGTGAAAATGCTCCACTTTCTAGGGCCATTACTGTTGCTGGCCATGGTTCGCCCGTCGCAGCAGTTCAACGACGTATTCGACGAAGAACTCCTGATCAAGCCACTCCCCGATGGATTCGTGTACAGCTACTTCCAGTTCACTACTCGCTGGGAGTTGACTCAGAATGATAGTCGTGAGTAGAACTTCTTTGTTTAATATGGAATGAGATTTTTATTTGAAATCAATTCTAGTTTTGCACACCCACCTGGTATCGCGTTCCCTGGTCGAGCTGTTCCATCACTACGGCGTGAGCGAACTGCATTTGGCTTTCACCAGCGGCATTTGGCGCTACGAAAATTGGGGCTTCCCGGTGGTGGATGCCGGACCAGGTGCCGAGGTTTGGGCATGGTTCGAACCACCGGCCAACGACGATGAAGTGGATCACAAGTGGAAGCAACTATGTGGAACGCTATCTGGATTGTTTTGCGCTTCGTTGAGTTTCGTGGACAAAACGAACACCTTCCGGCCGGAGTATTCGCTGAGAC